AATCAGCCATGGGAAATTCTACAGAACACAGTCCTAATCTAACAACCACTGGCCACCAGACTCCACTGAAACTGGTTTTGGGCTTTCCTTAGTCAAACAGATAACTGAGAGATTCTGGTTCTGATCATTAAATACTGATCTTTTATATTTAGAACTTGTCCAGATAAAGCAATACTTTTTAGTAATACATACAACTAAATAAAACATGCAAATAAAAAGTAAATAAAAAAGTAAACAAGATATCATCAGTATACAAAATTATGATGACCATATTATACATTTGCAACTTGAATTTAATGGAAAGCCAAAATTGTTAGAACTGTGACTCTAAGGTCCATATATCAAATATCTAATGTTGTTGTTGTTGTTATGTGCCGTCCAGTTGTCTGCAATTCATAGTGACCCTATGTACAACTTCCCAAAACTCTCCCTATCCTGTGCCAATCTCACTATCTCCGACACACCTACCTCCATTACCTCAGTTACTCAATCAATTCATCTCATTGAGGATCTTCCTCTCCTGTGCTGTCCCTCCACCCTCCCAAGCATGACATCCCTCTCCAAAGACAGGTCCCACCTTGCAACATGTTCAAAGAATGTCAGATAAAGCTTCAGAATCCTTGCCTCCAAGGAGCAGCCTGGCTTCACCCTCTCCAGGATTAACCTGTTCATTCTCTTAGCAGTCCATGATATAATCCATACTCTTCTCCAACACCACGGCTCAAGCGCATCAATTCTCCTTCTATCATCTTTTAAGTTTTTAGAAAGATTATGAAGTCATGCATTCATTAATTCAGAATAGAGAAATTATTCATGATAAAAATGTAGGAGTGTTTTATTATATAATACATATTTATTTTGGTGTTGCTACTCTTGTTGTTAGGTGCCATCTAAATGATAAGGATTCATGTTGTTGTTTGTCGTTATGTGCCGTCGAGTTGTTTGTGACTCATAGCGACCCTATGTACAACAGCCCTAAACCCTGCTCTATCCTGTGCCAATCGCACTGCCTCTGACACACCCATCCCGATTACCCCAGTCACTGAATCAATCCACCTCATAGAGGGTCTTCCCCTCCTGCGCTGTCCCTCTACCCTACCAAGCATGATGTCCCTATCCAAGGACCTGTCTCTCCTTAAAACATGTCCAAAGTATGTCAGACGAAGCCCCAGAATCCTTGCCTCCAAGGATTAGCCTGGTTTAACCCTCTCTAGGATGAATCTGTTTGTTTTCTTGGCAGTCCGTGGTACATTCAATACTCTTCTCCAGCACCACAGCTCAAAGGCGTCAATTCTCCTTCTATCCTCCCTAGTCATTGTCCAACTCTCTGATGCATAACAAGTGATTGCAAAGACCATGCCTGTATCAGGCACACTTTAGTCTCCAGAGAGACACCGTTGTTCTTGAGTACTTTAGAGAGGTCCCTAACCGCAGACTTTCCCATCACAATACGTTTTTTTATTTCCTGGCTGCTGGTGCCAAGATTCATAGTGACCCTATAAACAACAGAGCTGAACCCTGCCCTGTCCTGCATCATCCTCTGTCATGCTGGGACCCATTATTACAATGTCAACCCACCTTCCTGGGGGTCTTTCTCTCCTCTTTGACCCTCCATTTTCTCCAGCATGATGTTTTTTCCAAGAAATGGCTCTCCAGACAGCATCTCCAAAATATGTGACAAAGTTTCATCATCCTTGCCTTTTAGGAGCATATTGGTTACATTTTTCGCTAAGACAGATTTGTATGTTCTTTGGCAGTCCATGATACATCCAATATCAATGTATCAATACCAAGAATTATTTTAGTAGCTACTGGAAACAGGAATGGTACGCACTTCCTAAATAACATGCCTCTGGAAACTCCATGAACTTTGAACATACCATTTACCACCAAGAAAACAATTAAGTTTGTCTTGGAGAGAATGAAATCAAGTTTCTGCTTGGAGGCTAGGATTTTAGAGTTCAATCTCACTTACTTTGAGCACATGGCGAGAAGGGACTGGTCCTTGGAGAAGGACATCATGCTTGGAAGGGTGGAGGGACAGCGCAGGAGAGAAAAACTCCCAATGGGAAGGATTGATACAGTAACTGCAGGCTTCAAAGCTGTTGTACACAGGGTTGCTATGAGTCACAGGTGATTCGACCACATGGAACAACAACAATATTGATTTAAAAGCTGGTTGACATCTGTAATTTGAGAAAACACATTATAATATTCTTTTTGCAAACCCTTACATGCCATAGCCCATGATGAAAAGTCAAAGAACACTTCACCACCTTGTTTGCTTCCAGAGTAAACATTTAACCTTTTCTGTTCAGTCTCTGTAAGCAATGGCATGTAGGGTGACAGGACAGGAGAGTGAGTCAGTAAAATGTGCCTCCAGCTCCATGCTTGTTTGCAATGCCCAAGTCATTTCTAGAACATGCCACTTTCATAGCACAGTGATACAGAAAGTCTTAGTAAAACCAAGCTGGCTTGGTAAATCTGCTTTTTGCATTTAGAGTGAGGGACATTTTGCTAAGTCACATGAAACTCTACTGACCCCTCAAGCCCTGTGCTACAACCCGAGTGCTATATTTGAATGTCTTCATTCTTTTTCTGGGCAACCTCTCGGTAGAATTGCTCCCAGTCTTCCTGTACTTCTCAGCTTTCCTTTATCTCAGTCATACCCACTTGCTGTCTCTAGCTCAATTCTCCCTTAACAAGTAGCTCTTGAAATCCCCCATTCTTCCTAGAAGTCCCCTTTGACTTGTTGGGAAAGTATTCCCTGGGCTATCTCATTTGGGTATGGGGATTTTAAGTCCTTTCTGTCCTTCCTGTGCCACAGAAGCACTGAACATGTTTCTATGCTGCTAGAAGAATTTATGCTGTCCTCTGGCATTCTTGTATCACTATAGTCATTCAAAAGCAAACACATTCGCCAGGGAGGCAGAGCTATGCAGTGGCTGAATAAAAAGGCACAAAGTCAGATACCCTGGCCACTTTCCACTTTACAATTCGGAGAAGTCTAGAAATGTAGAAGACGTCTCCACCAGTCACCTCATCTGTGAGAAGGACACAGAGTTCATGAGGTTGTCATGACGATGAGCACGTGGGAACAAAGGATGAAAACAAACAAACTCATTGACATCTTGTCGATTCTGCCTTGGAGACCCTACAGTGGAGCAGAACTGCTCTGTAAGGATTCCAGGGCTGTAAGACTTTATGAAAGCAGGATGCCGCATCTTTTTCCTGTGGATGTTTAATCACTGTGCCACAAGAGCTCCTTACAAATGATAAAAACAAAACCACAAAAGAATCCAGACCACTGCTGTTGAGTTGATCCCAACACCACTGGATTTCCAAGGCTATAAATCTTTACAAAGAGACTACCTACCTTTCCCCCATGAGCAGGCTGGTAGCTTAGAACTACTGACCTTTCAGTTAGCTGAGCTCCTTTACACACACTCAGTCCTCAACAAATAGGAGATTAGCAGGAAAACAAACAGATTCTTTTTGTTAGACTGGACAAACCAGGACAAACCTGTATTTATTTATTTTGAGTATTAAAACTTGACAAAAAATGCTAATGAAATGTTGAAATAAAGACTCAGGGAAAAGTGAACTAAATGTTCTCTCTCACAGTGAAGACAGTGTCTACTGGCTGAACACTGTGAAGCAGATATTGAAAACAACACACACATTCAAGACTGCAGCTTTGGGGACTAGCTCACAGCCCTCTCCTGCGAAGTACACTTTATCAAACACATTTGTAAAAGAGTCAATTTTCATTGCCAGTTGCAAGGATTTCCTTAGAAACACCAAAGACACAGATCCACAGCATTTACTTACATCCAATCAAGGTAACACATGTGGCATCACAGAGCTCTAAATTGCTTGTACTGTCACAGGCACTAACTTTAGCACTCAAAAAGGGGATTCTCTGAGACCTACTGACAGTCTGAGAACCTAGTCAAGAAGATTACTGAGTTGCTCAATGTTTGCAGCATGTGGTAGGACAGAGTTGAAAGTCATACTGTGGGTCACGGTGACCTGGGCTGGCTCCAGGAGGCGTGGTCAGGAGTGGATGAAGACAGGGCTCGGCTGCAGGCCAGGGTCTTCTGAGCTACTGAGCAAGAGAATCCTAATGGTAGAAGTAGTGGAGAGAATAGAAACTGCAGGAGCAAGGTGCCTAGGCAGGCAGTGTGTGTGCCATCAGTGATCAGTGCAGGGCTGGGCTTGCTCGGGCCAACACTGAAAACTGCAGGTGTAAACAGTGACAAGGATGCAGTGCATGCAAGAGTAAGGTCCTCAGGGACCAGCAAGAACAAGATGAGAGTCTAGATGCTTAAAGTAAATTATGAATGAAGTAAAGACCAGCAAAGCTATACTGAGATGGCACATATTTATCAATGTGAAAATGAAACCAGACATAAAAGGGAGATTTATGGACAGATGGATAATCACTCTAAATATAAAGCTTTTAATGCATATCACAAATTTCTGGAAAAACTTTCTTAAGAAACTTTGTGTCATTTGTAGAACATGAAATTTCAGTGCAGTTGTATAGTTTAGCACTCTAAAAGTGCCAAAGATCCCAAGGTGTAACTTTCAAATCTTCACTTATCAATCTTTTGGTGTGTTTTGGAAGTTGCTGATGGGAAAAGACATTTTCTAGAAACGCTGTCATCTGTCTGCAGACATCACAGGTTGTCTTGAACACCCTGAACACTATGCTCAGAGCATCTTCTGCAGCACTGTCAAGGCCACACCGAGTGAAGGGACATTGTCTACAGGGTGTATCAAACACTTAGCCAGGTCTAATCCAATGATATGACATAGCATTCACAGCTGGGGCATTGTAAGTAAGGTCATTTTGGTTATAAGAAAACACTTAACCACTTTTCTGAACTACTAATTGGGGGGGGAAAAAACTGACAAGCCCTTTGTTTTCTGTACCCATCTCCTCAAGGCATTAAGGATGCTAACAGTTTGATTGTGTTCATCCTTCTGCAGGGTGCTTATGTTTTCATCGTGGTTGAAGCAGCACCTTGGAAGCAGGTAAGCTGCAGATGCATGCTGCTCTTGAACTTGTTCAGAAGTTCTTCCAGTAACCTGTGATGGAGGAGAGACAGATATTATAATCTGCACAACGAGGGAGGCTGAGAACATGAGGAAATATTCAGCAGAGGCAGCCTAGACACTGATTTGTGATTTTGAGAAGGTAGCCTGGAAAGATTATGGATTCTTAAGTTAGTAATAAATGACAAGCAAGTAATTTAACTCAACTCAAAAAACTCAAACTTATTGCCATCATGTCAGAACTAACTCATGGCAGGTTTTTTGAGACTGTAAATTATAGAGGAGCATATTACCCACTGGAGAGACGTGGTCTTTGCCTTAGCAGAACGACTCCTGTGGACTAGCTCTATTTTTATAAAATGTTCATGTACAAAAATCCACTCATTTTTGATGTACAGTTCTATGGACGTAGACCAACATATACAGCTGTGTAATGAAAATGAGGAGACAGAAGAGTCCATTGTGCACCCCATCCTCCAAACAGTGTACTGCCTCCCCCAAGGCCTTCGCTTCCAGCTCTCAGCAACCACTGATTTATTTTCTGACTCCGTAATTTTACTTTTGCCATGACAAATATTGGAGAGTGATAAACTAAGGTAGTGTAGTGGGGAACCAAAGAATAAAGGTTTGTCCTGACCCCACTGGGCAGATCATTCTGCTACTTGGTATCTCCAGTGTGCCCCAATAGGTCTGATACATTGAGATTTAAGAGTGGAGGGCTGGGACCAGTGCCAATGTGGTGCCATACGTTTTCTAAAGACAATTCCTAGTCATTTTTGGGAGGCCTGCTACATGCCAGTAGGAGTCCTGGTGATGCAGTGCGCAACATACGGGGCTGCAAAGTGAAAGGGCAGCATTTTGAACTGACCAACTGCTCGTCGGGAGAAAAATGGGCCATCTCTTCTGGTAAAGGTTTACAGCAACCCAAGAGAGCGCTGCAACGAGCTGGAATAGACTGGATGACAAGGGCTTTTATTTTTCTTGTTTTTTAATATTATGTGCCAGATATAAGACCTCAGAACACTTATGATGCTGTCGAATTCAGAGGTTGTAAATTGCACAGAAGGAGAGTGTCCATCTTTCTCCTGCTGATGGCTTCAAACTACTTGCCTTTGGGCTGGCATGCAACTCTTTATATAATAAACCCTCCTGCAGACCTTGTATACTGCGTGAAGGAGCTCTGGTGGCCTACTGGCAAGAAGCTGCGTCACAATCCCAAAAGCACCTGATTTGAGGCCACCAGATGCTCCACGGAGAAGGTCCTGTGTGATGAACTGCCTCTGAAAAGCTGCCGGAGCGTCAGTTATGATCAGTTCTGACTCTATGGTACACAACAACCACATCCAAATGGATATAAAGAAGTTATTTCATGGTCTAACAGTGTTCAATATTAGAACACTGTAAAAGAAATAGTGACTATATGAATCTTTTACCACACTTATTTAAAATAAATGAACAAGGCTTGGGGCCTATTCAGAGAGGCTGAAATTCAGAGAGAAGAAAGCAAAGTAAGAAAATGGAAGAAGTGCGTGTGCGTAGGGACCTTGTTTGTGTGTCCACTCATTTTTTCATTGGGAACAAGACAAGGGTACACCCACTAGTCAACATTTTCCTAAGCCTCATTTCATGTGCCATTTCCTGCTTCTTCCCGTGAGCCAGCCAGTGTGGCCTCTCTCCCTTTAGCACTCCCACACATTCATCTTTGAAATCCTACTAACTCCTCACAAACTTGAAGCTGCACAATATTACCGATGATCCTTTTCAGAAGTCTACTTGTTAACAGACTAACTTGATCACTTGCTCCTTGATGACTGGGACTCTGTGTGACCTCTCCTGAGTCCTTCAAAGAACCCAGCATGTGGTTGTCACTGAGCACTTGAGTGTCTGACCGACGAGCTATGGAAAGATGGCGGGCTCAGTCCCTGATGCTAACCAGCATATGGCCACATGCCTCTGTGCTCTGGAGTGGATGGGCTAGTACAGCTGACGTCCGCATGAAAGACCCTCTCAGGTCAGAATTTTGTTCTATGCAGCGTTGAGTGACCAAGTTTAAATTCAGGTTGGACTATCTGAGCAATGAAATAGGTACAACTTTATGTACTATGCCATCAATGCAAATCTGTTCTTTTTTAAATACTTCATAGAGTACATAATATTATTTTTAAGGTTGTTGTTGTTGTTAAGTGCCGTTGAGTCATTTGTGACTCATAGCGACCCTATGTACAACAGCCCTAAACCCTGCTCTATCCATTGCCAATCTCATTGCCTCCGACACACCCATCCCGATTACCCCAGTCACTGAATCAATCCACCTCATAGAGGGTCTTACCTTCCTGTGCTGTCCCTCCACTCTGCCCAGCATGATGTCCCTCTCCAAAGACCTGTCTCTCCTTACAACATGTCCAAAGTATGTCAGGCGAAGCCCCAGAATCCTTGCCTCCAAGGAGCAGCCTGGTTTAACCCTCTCTAGGATGAATCTATTTGTTTTCTTGGCAGTCCATGGTACATTCAGTACTCTTCTCCAGCACCACAGCTCAAAGGCGTCAATTCTCCTTTTATCCTCCCTAGTCATTGTCCAACTCTCTGATGCATAACAAGTGATTGCAAAAACCATGGCCTGTATCAGGCGCACCTTAGTCTCCAGAGAGACACCGTTGCTCTTGAGTACTTTAGAGAGGTCCCTAACCACAGACTTTCCCATGGTAATACGTTTTTTGATTTCCTGGCTACTGGTGCCAAGAATGTTGACCGTGGAGCCGAGCAAACTGAAGCTGTGAACAGTCTCAATCTCTTCACCATCCATCCTGATGCTACCGATTGGTCCAGTGGTGAGAATTTTTGTCTCTGGACATTGAGCCTCAGTCCATATTGAAGGCTGCAGTCCTTGACCCTCTGCAGTAAGTGCATGAGGTCCTCCTCAGTTTCAGCGAGCAGGGTTGTGTCATCTGCATAACGCAGATTGTTGGTAGATCGTCCACCAATCCTAACGCCACGCTTCTCCTCATAGAGCCCTGCCTCTCGGATAATCTGCTCTGCATACAGGTTGAAAAGGTATGGAGACAGGATGCATCCCTGGCGTACACCCTTCCCAATTTTGAACCATGCAGTGTTACCCTGCTCTGTTCTGACGACTGCCTCTTGGTCCAAGTATAGGTTTCACCTTAGCACGAGTTCTGGCAGCCTAGTGGCAAGAAGCTGCACTGCAATACCAGAGGTGCACAGTTCAAATCCACAAGATGCTCTGCCGAGGAAGGAGGGACAATCTCCTCCTGTACCAGTCAGATCTGATTTGACGGTACACACACAAAATAATTTTTAAGGTATGTGGTTCACATTCACCAACTGTTTCCAAGAGCAAGATGGACAATCTCATTCCCTGTCATTTAGGGCCTCTGAAAATCCGCTGGAGGGTGAGCTACGAGTTGTTTCTAATTTGATGGTACTCAACAACAACAATAACAAGGTGCATCTGATCCTAATCATGGTATTTTCAATTACTTAATATGCATCTGAAAGTAATACACTGAGTAAGGGAGACCAAAGAAAAATAGATGTGTTTGAACTGTGAGTATTGAATACACCATAGACTGCCGAAGAAAAAGGAAAAGGAGGAAGAGTTTCGAGGAAGAGCTGTCTTAGAGGAAGAGCTCTGTAGAGGTAAAGATGTGTAATTTCATCACACAGACTTTGGCGATGTTGTCAGGAGGGGCCAGTCTTTGGAGAAAATGTCAACAGAGCTGGAAAGGTAGAGGCTCAACTAAAGAGAGAAGACTCTTAATCAGACGAATCGACACAGTGCCTGTCACAATGGGCTCAAGCATAGAAAAGACAGTGAGGATGATGCAGGCAGGACGGCGCAGGTTCAGATCTGCTGTTCTCGGGGCTGCTATGAGCTGGAGTCAACTTGAAGGCACCTAACAGTAACAACAACAACAATAATAGATGAAGGCAAAAAATTTGCCAGATTCTCCATTTGACAAAGATGTTCTCTTTTACACTGTAATCAAGAACATCTCTTCTGAAACACATAAGCAAACAATATAATTTGCTGTGTTGAGTCAAAATGAGCTCTTTCTCAGGAGTTTTTCTGTATTACTCATTTAAAACAAGATAACAGCCAACTGTAATTAACTCAGAAGAAATGTTTCACCTGATGTCTTTCATTGAGTCCAAATTATGAAAAAATATTAAAAACGACTTTTGGATGACAAAAGTTACCTAATGGATTTTGAGAAGAAAATAAAGAACTTACTTTTTATCTGTTCCACTTGAGAGTTGAGGCAGGACTTCCAGAGCTTGTTTGAAACTAGACCTGGACAGAAACAGTAGCAATAGGTCAGTTGAAGCATTTCATAGTTTTAAGGGAATTTAGAGGATCCTGAAGAAGAAGAAAAAAAAAATCCCAAGTCTGACATAAATATAAAAGCCAGTATGAATGAATCAAGTGGAAATACAAGAAAAAGTAAAAGTGAAAAACAACAGAAAAAGTAAAAGTAAAAGTAAGGGCTAGACGGAAGCTTTGTAATAGAGTCAGAAAAACTTAACTAGGAAATGAAACATCATTTGAAAAGGTAAGGAGAGACTGATTACAGAAAGGATGCTACCCATGATACATGAGACTTTACTGTAAAGATGCTTAATTTTTTTTTAAGTTCTTTTCAACAATCACCTGGATTACAGACAAAATAACTTTTAGAAAACAAGTGGAAATGATTAAGTGGAAAGAGGGACACTTATGAAAGATTATATCAATATCTCCAGGACTTAATTCACATTTCTAAAAGAACTGAATATGATTTGCACTGGTTTTAGCAATTGTTACACTGTAGAAAAATGAAGAGCTAAACCATTATTTCTTAACATGAAAAGTATCAAAGGAGTAAGCAAAAAAAGAATTTACCAATTTGGAATGTTACACTTTCAAACACAATTACCAATGCAAATAAACATTTTAGAGTAAATTATTTGGTAATTACTTGTTCACTAAAGAACAGTTCTTATCTCTTTTCTTTAGGACTAGAGACTAAAGTGAAGACAGAAATATAATTATATATGATATTGGCACAGGACAGAGCGGAGTTTAGGGCTGTTGTACATAGGGTCGCTATGAGTCGCAGGCGACTCAACGGCACATAACAACAACAACAACAACAACAACATGATTTTAAAAAGGGTTTTATTTTTATATGGAAAAATGATAATCTCATCTGAAAACTACTATTACCTCCCCCCCCCCCCACCCTCAGCCCCATAGAGCACCATCGAATCAGATCCGATTGGCACAGGAAGAGACTGCCCCTCCTTCTCCAGCAGAGCATCTGGTGGATTCGAACCATTCACTTTCGGGATAACAGTGCGGCTTTTTGCCACTAGGCCACTAAAGCTCCCTTGAAAACTACTATTTTTTTTTTTTTAATTTTTTTTTTGAAAACTACTATTTTTGACTAGTCGGTCTGAAATTTAGAGGCAGTTGCCACAGTAACATACAGAAGGACTGAAAAATTACAGTAGTGCTATACATGTCTTCTGCTGCAGGTTGTGGTAGGATGTGGGTTGCAAGGACAGGTTACAGCATGCTGCCATAATTTTCTTCCTTCTCAGCACCTTTGGGAATGTTATCAGGAGATGCCAGTCCTTAGAAAAAGACAACATGCGGGGAAAGGTAGAGGGCCAGACAAAGAGAGGAAGACCCTCAACTAAATGGACTGACACAGTGACTGTGACAGTGGGCCCAAGCATAGCAAGGGATTATGAGGACGGTGCAGAATAGAGCTAGATGCAGATCTGCTGTTCACAGGGTTTCTGGACGTCGTAGTTGACTTGACGGTTCCTAACAACAACAACAACAACATCTTCTTTCCTGGTATACTTCTGATAATTCCTGATATATTACCTGATACAATCATAACATGCCACTATCCACCATTATTTTGCTCCATGCACACCTTTACTTAATTAAGCAAAATAATTTTGCTTTTTTTCTTTATTTCTGCAGGAACAATAATGATCAAAAGGATAATCATGAAGAAGACACTACCACTCATTTGTGGTGCCCCGACATTTAGAAAATGACTTCACACATTCTTGTTTGGCTCCCAAACAGCTTTGCCTACAAGGCATGGTCACTTTCCTTTTATAGATGAGGGATTAGGATAAAAAGGGTTAACTTAGTAGGAACAAAGAGAGAAGTACTTAGAAAAGTACACACAAACACATTAAATACAGACTTTCTTCTCTCTATGGTACTTTCTATCATCTTCACTACATTTTGAAGAAATGTGATGTTTGTGAAAAGATGGGCTTAAATAACTAACACAATATTTAACCTAATTTAGAAAATAACTATTGGTAAGCCATGATGAATAAGAAAAAACTTTATTTGGTTCAGAGAACACACTGCAGTCTTTTCCTTTGTAACGATGACAGACAGAATGATGGTCTAAGTCATGTCATCACTGCACGTGAATATGTGTGTCACACAAGTATCCATAAACATTTAATGTATATACTCCTTGGTTTCTGAAGCATAATACAAATAGAACTCGGTGTTACCTAGGTAATACTGCTAATGGGGTACAGAGACATGTGTAGTAAATGGTGTTTCAGTTCAGCTACTGATATTTCTATGATAGGAAATCCTTACTTTCATTCAAAACAGCTAAAAATGATCAACTTTCCACTACCGATTTTTGCAGACAAAACCACAAGGCTTCCTCTTATGCTGATATTGGTAACACTTGAGCCTCCTTCAGACTCTGCTAGGGATAGATTAAGACTTATTCTGGTTGTCTTTTTTTTTTTTTTTAAAGGAAGTATATAATGCTTTGCCTTATCATGTTAGAGACTAAGATTTATCTGTAGTGAATTAAACACAAAGTTCTCTTTCTTGTTATCGAGTACTAGAAATAAATAACCTTTGAGGTTTTGGCTTATTATGAGTTTATAACTGATCAATTACATACAAATTTTATCACGTCAGAAACTCATGAACATTCACTCTGGTGAAAAACCTTTCCAAAGAACTCTGATGTAACATAAAAAGAATACTTAGCATCTTACTTGCTTTCAGTTGTCAGGTAAATGGCCACAGTATCCCGTAAAGCACAGATTTCAAGTCTTGCCTAAAACGGAGAAAAGGATGAAAGTGACAGTTGGAAAATGCTCCCATCTACATACAATGAAGAGGGCAGAGGTCAGCAGCCCCTTCCCTGGCCACTATGGCACGCGGACTGAGGTCCACTGGGGCAAGCCTTCCAAAAACTCCTGTGCCTCAGTGACAGCTATTAACAAATGCTCTAAAACCACCTCAGGGAACAGGCTGCAATTCAATTTTCATTCACTGAACATTAATTTATAGTCAAGTGCGTGATGTGTGAAGCCAGGGAGCTCTTACTGAAGGGTCAAATGGGGAGTCGTGTGGGTGATTCCCAGCAGTCTGTTCTCCATTACTTATTTTCTGTTTAGTCTGGCACATGAGGAAGGGGCTTCTGAAATAATGTCCTGTGTTAATCCCTCTCTCACAGCCAACCTTCTGGTTGTTTCATACTCTCACTTACGATCATCCAGGTACACCTATGCTAATCTCAAAAGCCAATGTGAAGTTCTGCAGAATCAGTACAACTGTTGTCAGAATCATAGCTGACATTTCCTTTTTCATATAGAAAGTGACAATTCTCAAATTCCTATGGAAATGCAAGGGTCCCTTGGGAAGTCTAAACAATCTTGAAAAAAAACTCAGTAGGAGGACTCCATCTTTCTGGTTTAAAACTTTATCCTTAAAACAAAAACACCGCCCCCCCCCAAAAAAAAAAACAACCAAAAAAACTTTATCCCACAGTAATGAAAATACTGTGATACTGCCTTGTTAGTTAACCAGATCAATTCACAGAATTAAACTCACACATTTATGGCAAACAGTTCTGACAAGTTTGCCTGTTAGACTGTACTTTGTCCCCCAAACATCCTTACCACTATTTTTATGGTTTTACTCCCATTTAGGGAATGGACTGTCTTTGTTATATAAATGACAAAGGATTACCATAGAGTGTTCTTATAATCAAGCTCTTATAAGACATTAAAAAGATTAAACAACACCACAACAAGGTAAAGGTAAACAATCCAACTGCAAAATGGGCACAAGATATGAACAGACACTTCATCGAAGACGACATTCAGATGGCTAACAAGCACATGAAGAAATGTTCAAAATTCCTAGCTCTGAGATGCAAATTAAAACAACTATGAGATATCATCTCATTCCAGACAGAATAGCAAAATTTAACAGAACAGCAAGCAACAAAAGCTGGCAAGGTTATGGAGAAACTAGAACCCTTATTCGCTGTTGATGGAAGTGTAAAATGGTGCAACCACTGTGGAAGGTGGTATGGCACTTTCTCAAAAAGTTGCAAATAGAGATACCATTTGACCCAGCAATTCCACTACTGGGAATATACCCCAGAGAGACCATAACTGACATCCAAGCAGATATATGCACACCCATGTTTATTGCAGTTTTGTTCACAATAGCAAGGAGTTGGAAACAACCTGAGTGCCCATCAACAAACGAATGGATAGAGAAGCTGTGGTATATTCACACAATGGAATACTATGCTGCATTGAAAAACAAGGAACTCATGAAATATTATTCAAAATGGGTGACCCTGGAGGGCATTATGCTGAGTGAAGTATCTCAGTCGCAAAAGGACAAATACTGCATGGTGCCACTGTTGTAAAACAGGACTGACATCGGGGTTGGGGAGAGACTGAGAAAGATGGGTTCAATAATGTATACTGCATTGAAATAGATGAGACAGAAAACTGTTTAAAAGGGATATGTGATTAGGTCTTTTTATCATGATAGGAGTCTAGAGCGAAGGCTACATGGTGGAGTGGACCTGGGGAGGATTTGTAAAACAATGTAGAATTTTTCTTTTACTTTTCCAAGAGGGTAGTGTAGTAGGGGGTAGGGTTGGGAGGAGAGAAAAGTGCAACAATGAATGAATGGAAATCCAAAGTCTCTCTAAACTTTTACTGAAATTATTAATAAATTTAAATAATTTTAAAAAAAAGATTAAACAAGCAAGCTAAGTAAGCAGAGATTGTAGAATACAGAAGCCAAGCTTCAAGAAGGCTACCCAAGAACAAAGACGCAAGTGACAAGAAATTTTTTCCAGAGTTGACACCAATAGAGGCTTTTCCCTAGAGTCAACATGGTGAATAGAGAGGATTGTGGCATCAGGATTAGAGGAAGACTTATGAACAACCTATATTATGCAGACAACACAATCTTCCTAGGTGAAATTGAGGAAGACCCAAAGCGCTTGCTGCAGAAGGTCAAGGAGTGTAGTCTTTAACATGGATTGAAGCTCAACATCAAGACAACAAAGATTTTCACCAGTGGGCCAACTGGCAGGATCATGATGGATAGAGAAGAGATTGAGGTTGTTAACAATTACAGCTTGCTTTGCTTCACAATCAACTCTCTCAGCACCAGCAGTCAGGAAATCAAAAGACGAATTGCAATGAGAAAATCTGCTGTCATAGACCTCTTCAGAGTCCTGAGAAGCAACGATGTCAGTCTAGAGCCTAAGGTGTGCCTAATCCAGGCCATGATCTTTGCAATTACTTACTATGCATCAGAGAGCTGGATAATGACTAAGGATGAAAGAAGAAGAATCGATGCCTTCAAGTTGTGGTCCTGGAGAAGAGTGTTGAGCATAACATGGACCGCCAAGAAAACAAACAGATCTGTCTTGGAAAGGGTGAAATCAAGTTTCTCCTTGGAGGTTAGGATTTTGAAGCTCCATCTCATCCTCTGGGCATGTGGCCAGGAGGGACTGACCATCCAGTGGGTTTCCTGAGGCAGGCAATCACACTGCAGGAGACTGCCCAACATTCTCCCATGGAGCATCTGATAGATTCAAACTGTGTGCCTTTGAGATTGCAGTACAGCTTCTTGGCAATAAAAAGAAAAAAGAGTACTTTGCAAACATTATACAAAGTGAAATAAGTCAGTCTAGATCACATTTGATTTCATTTATACATTTCCAGAGCTATTAAATATATAAAGAATTAGTGGCTTTGTAGGGCTAGCAAACAGAGCAAGGGAACACTGCAAGGTTTAGAAGGGAGCATATCAGGGTTGTATTCTCTCTCCATATCTATTTAATATCTATATTGAGCAAATTATTTTAGAAGCTGGACTTTATAACAAGGATTGTCACATCAGAATTGGAGTGAGACTCATCAATAACCTGCATTATGCGGATGACATAATCTTGCTTGCTGAAAGTGAGGAAGACTTGAAGCACTTGTTCAAGAAATGCGGTCTTCACTTTGGATTACATTTCAATGTAAAAAAACAAAGATCCTTAACACTGGACCAGTGGTTCATGGTAGATAGAGATGAGACTGAAACAGTCAACAACTTCATGTTGCTTGGATCCACGATTAACACACTTGGTGGCAGCAGTCAGGAAATAAGGAGACACATTATACTGGAAAAATCTGCAGTTAGGGACCTCTCCAAATTGAGGAGTAATGATGTCAGTTTGAGGACTAAGGTGCTTCTGATTCAGGCCATGGTCTTTCCTATTACTTGCTATGCATCTTAAAGCTGGACAAAGAATAAGGATGACAGAAAAAAAATTAATGTCTTTTAGCTGTGGTGCTGGAGAAGAGCACTGAATATCTCATAGATGGCCAAAAGAACAAACAAATGTCTTAGACAGGGTTTGTATCTATTGTTCATAGGGTTGCTTAATGGCACCGAACAACAAAACGACAACAGGGCTAGCACTGGAGGTAATGCTTGGAGGAAACAAGAGTGTACTGCTGATAGAATGACAATTATTTTATGGGAAGTGGGGTATGTGATAAAAACATTTTAAAAGTGACTGGTGATGGTTGCATAATTCTGTTGGTTGAACAATCTAAAAGTCACTGCAATGTATAAAAATAATATGATATGTAAATATTAACTGATACTGACTGGAAGAGATCTATATTTGTTCCCATTCCAAAGAAAGGTGACCCAACTGAGTGTGGAAACTACAGAACAGTGTCATTGATTTCACATGCAAGCA